GTCCAGGGGAAAGCCCGCATTTCCTCATCACAGCCACGTGAGCATTGCTGTGTGTCAATAGAGACATGCATGTTGCATTCCTTGGGGGAAATAATATAATCCTTAGGGATAAGAGTGGCTTAAGGAAGTCAGTCATCTGGGAGGAATGAGGGTGGCACAGACGGAGAGCCAGCAGGGAATCGGTGGCTAGGCCTGGGTCCCTGCTCTCTGCTCTCCACCACAGCAGGGGGGGTCCTCCTCAGCACCTCGGGGACTTCTCCTGTGGCAGGAAGGGAAGGGAGGTGTAACAGAGGCTCCGTGTACTCTTGAGGAAGCAGCAAGAGGCAGTGTGGCTTGGACACAACCCACACTCCAAAAACACATCACCAACGACTGGGCTGGGGAGATGCCCAGTCAACAAAATGCTTGCTGGGCAAACACAAGGACCTGTGTCTGAATCCGCAGCATCTACATAAAAGCCTATAATCCAAGAGCTGAGGAAGTGTAGACAGGTGGATCCAGCCAGTCTGGCCAATTAGTGAGCTCCAGGCAACTGAGAGACCTTGGCTCAAATAAATAAATAAATAAATTTTTTTTTAAAGGTGGATGGCGATTGACTCAATGTAGACCTCTGGCTTCCATGTGCATGTATATGAACACACCTACATGAACATGTATATAACACACACACACACACACACACACACACACACACACACACACATCACCATGTGCCTCCCAAGGCTGAATGCTGGGAACTCAGGAACACACACATGTCACTCACCGTCACCGAGTCTGAGGTCCAAGGGAAAAATGTTTCCTGTTTAGAAGCCTAGACAACGTGTTGCAGGGTCTGTGTGCGGAGAGAGTGAAGCATACTGGCTGTCAGTCACAGGGCAGAGTGCTCCCAGGAGGGAGGCTGAGAAGAGATGAGGACCTAGGAGTCATTTTCCTGTCACAGAGGGCCTAGTCTGATAGGGACTCTGCATGCAGATAAATCCTGTCCCTCTGCGTTTAGTCCTGAGAGCCACCAGGTCAAGACTGTGGGTGACTCAGGGTCACCCATCCGCACTACAGGAAAAACCGCTCAGAGGACATGCCCAGTGGGAGCGGGCCAGGAGTGTCACCTTCGACTCGAGGGAGAGGAAGGTATGTGACTAGAGAGGAGTCCACCTGGGCAGATGGGTGATGGAGAAAGAGGGGACAGAAGAGGGAGGGGGAGGGAAGGAGGAGCCCTCCTATCTGGGCGGCCTCAGGTAAACCTTACACAGATAAGGCCCCCCCAGCCTTTTCTCTTCATCCACTCCGTTTCCTTCTCCACAGCCTGAGCCCCAGGCTGACTAAGACCCCCCCCCCCCCAATGGAATTTTTATTCTAGAATTTCTGCTCCGGTGGCAGTGCAGGGCCCGTGAAGGGGCTGTCTCACCTCGGCCTCCTCTTGGCGGTTCCGTTCCTCCCATCCACATCTCCCTAAGGCTGTGCAGTCTGGGCTGCTGGGATGAATAGAGTTCTCTCATTCTTTTTGTTTGTTTGAGACAGGGTTTCTCTGTGTAGTAGAGAAACTGGCTGGCCTCGGAGTTCTCCTATTCTTGTGACCTGGACTTTCTACCTGCCAAAGGCTCATCCTTTGAACTTGGATTTCCTTTGGGGGCGGGGGTTGCTGCCTATCACCCACAGTTCTCACCCTATCAATGTATTGCCCTGGGCACTCACTCTCCAACATAGAGCCCAGATCTTCTACAGCCACGTGAGCAGCCTCCAGAGGTAACCCTGGGCTGGGCAGACACTCAGCCTAGCCAACTCACCAGCTTCCCTTGTCTCCTCCACTCCTGAGCCCCAGCTTTAAGGTTTCACTGTCTGAGTTGACAGGAAAGGTTATCGGTGACCCTGAGAGACATGGCAGCGGTACAACCTAAGAGCCTCAGGATGCCTGAGGTAGCACCAAATCCTGCCTGGGTTGTGATGCATCTTGTATACATAGACTATGACGTTTAAGTCATGAATTAGACCCAGTAAGAGATAAACAGTAAAGCAGGACAGTTATAACAATATAATACATTGAAAGTTATTTACAAGTAACAAATTGCTTATTTCTGGAATTTCCAGATGCATTATTACTATTTAAACAATATTTATTTAATGTGTATTGGTATTTTGCCTATATGTGTATATTACTGCACCATGTGGGTGCCCCCAAAGAAGCCAGAAGTGAGCGGATGCCCTGGAACTGGAGTTATAGACAGTTGTGAGACTCCATGTCGGTGCTGGGAATCGAACCGAGGTCCTCTAGAAGAGCAGCCAGTGCTTTTAACCACTGAGTCATTTCTCCAGCCCCTTTCATGCATTAATTTCAGGCCCGTGGGCAATGGACACAGTAGGGAGGGAAACTGGGTAAGGGGGAACAGACAGTAAGAGCACAGAGAGCTGACTGGAGCTTCTAGGTCCCAGATGTGGGCAGGGCAGTGGGGGATGGGAAGAGGGTGGACCGAGAAGACAGGAGGAGAGAGGCCAGGTGAGGAACGTGACCGTGTGGGTGTCTGGAAGCTGGCAGGAGGCCAAGAGAGACTGTGCCTCCTCCAGCCTGGCTGTCTTGGCCAAGGTCTGACAGCAGCAGGAAGGAATGTGAAGAAGAAAACAAGACAGACAGATGGACAGAGGATGCCTGCTCTGATACTGGAAAGCGCTCTGTTTTCTCCCCACCCATCTGGGGATGCCCACATTCTCAGACCACAAAGACTCCTTTCCCTGCCTTGTTCCTGCTGCCTCGGCCCCACTCCTTCCCCAGGTCCTAGCTGGGGCCTGAGAGTCTAGGGAGGGGTTGGGGAGTCACCACAGGTTCCAGTATTCCTGTCTTGGGGGTGAGGACTTGGGGTGAATGTCTGGCTTGCCTTTCCAAAGGGAATTCATAGGTGAGAGCCACCCTGCAGGGGACCACACCCTGGTCCCATTTAATTTACTCTTTCTGATAATTTCCTGTTTGATCTTTACAAACCTTTGAAAGCAGGTAATATTTAAAAATAATCCCAGGGAGCTAGAGAGGTCTCAGTAGTTAAGACAGCTAACTGTCTTCCAGAGGACCTGGGTTTGATTCCCAGCACCTTCCCTGGAGGCTGACAAACATCTATTAACTCGGGTTCCAGGGGATCCAATGCCCTCTTCTGGCCTCTTCAGGAACTACATGCAGGGGTTGCACTTGCACACACGTGGGCAGAACACACATACACATAATTAAAACAAAGCAGAAATTTACAGAAATAGTCCCAGTAGAAAGAGACGGAACTCATGCTAGGTCACACCTGACCCACAGCCCAGCGTGTGCCCCCCTACCCACCCTTCTCCCACTCTACAGGTGAAGAAAGAAATCTAAGCTTAGAGAGGCTTGGTAAATCGCTCGAAGCCCCGGGATTAGGCGGGATTTAAAGCCCCGTCATCTCAGTTCTAAAGCCACCGTGGTTTTGGCGGTCACTGTCCACTGCCCATCTCAGGCTTGTGTTCCGGTCACTGCAGGGCTCCCTGGACCTTTGTCCCTTCCCAGGCCCTCCTCTAGGCACCAGCAGGAAGTGAAGGACTAGATGGCAGCCTGCAGCTGCACGTGGTTGTCCAGACTTAAACTTAAATAAAACAAAAGACTCAGTGGGTTATGCCAATCCCATTTTAAGCTCTTGTGGCCTGTGTGCCATGGAGAGAGCTGGGAGAACACAGGCCACGGGCCAGAACTCAGGGCAGGGCAGGGAGAAAGGGAGGGACCAACCCCAGGGCTGGAGGGACAGAGATACCCTTGTGAAGAAAGGGACATCTGGAAGGAATTTGGGTGAGGGGAGGAGGGACCAAGTGAGGGCAAACTCACTGAGGGCCTTCCTCCGATACTGATACTCCCACAATCCCAGTGAGCAATCGGCTGGGGTGGGGCCTGGGCTGCAGCAGAAGGGAGGGACATTAGTGCTGGAGAAACCACCTCCCTCCCGCTGGGTCCCAGGGTTCTGACCCTCCTTCCTTCAGGGACTCAGGAGCTGGTTTGGCCCTTCTTGTCCTACTCAGGCACAAACCTCTGATACTTTCTGTTTGTCCATCCAGGCCCAGGAGTCGGTAATGGGCAGCCTGGCCACCACCTTCCCAATTAGCCTCATTGGCCTCTTGCTCATCCTCCTGAGTCTGGGTCACTACCATGGGATAGGGACTGTGAATGGCCTGTGAGTCACTGAGGCCCAGCTATGACAGGGGTCCCAACCCAGGCCTCTCCCTAGTCCAAGCTCTGGTAACCATGGCCCCTCCCGCCTCCCATCAGCTGCCCCAAGACCCCCCAGAAAGGAACCCTCAGGTTTTCAGTGTATGGATGTCATTTCTGAGAGGGGAGAAAAAGGCTTGCTTGGAACGGGACACTTTATCAGGCCCGTGGCAGGCTGGTGCTCGGGGCAGTGGCTCTAAGGGAATCCACAGTGGGGGCGGATCTTCAGATCTGAAGCAGGAGGAGAATGCTCAGTGCTGGAATCGCAAGGAAACAGGCAGATAGGGTTACAATGTGAGCCCCAGCAAGCTGCGTGGTGGGGTGAATTGGGGGTGAGCAGGGGCGGGGTGCTTCTTGGGATCAGGAGGGAAAGCTGAAATGTCCACTTTTCTTCCAGTGGAGGGACACTGGGAGGATGAGACTTGGCAGGCCAGGGAGGGAAGAGCTGGGTGACTGAGTCCCTGGGTGAGAGCGGCCACCCTCGAGGGGGTGGCCCCACCAGGGCAGAGCGCCTGGTTCTAGATTAGGCAAGGAGGAACTAGGGAAGGCCAGCCTCGGTAGGGGCTAGTGCCCAGTGGCCTCAGGTCTCCTGCGGCCACCGCTGCTGCTGAGTAGGCACATGTGATACCCGATTGCTTCAGCCTCTCCTGCCACACCAACCTCCCTGAGGCAGCCTCCCCCTCCACCCCACCTCCTCTCCTCCCCACAGTGACTCCTGCCCAGAGAATGTCCAGCCCCGGCATAAAGGTCCCGGTGTCCATGAGCTTCTGTCAGTCAGGAGGCCACGCCGTGCACAATGAGCTCCTCTCGGGCACCCGGGATGGGGCGTGTGGGAGGGCACGGGCTAATGGCATTGCTGCTGGCCAGTCTCATTCTACCAGGTAGGAGTCTGGGGCCTCGGGAGAGGGACAGCGTGGGACACAGGCCCTAGGTCGGGGAGGCTGGGGGCATCCAGCACCTGCAGCCCAGGGTCCAGGAGAGGGGCACAGGCAGGGCTCTGACCTTTCTTTCCGGGACTGCTCCTCATCCTTGCCTGGCTGCCTCTGCTGGTCACTGCACACAAATTCTTTTTCCTTTGCTCCACAGTGGCTGAGCAGGCACGCACTCTGCCTCTGAGCCATCCTTAAGAGTCCTATGTACATGTTCTGAGCTTGTTTCTGAAACCTAGAAACGAGGTTAATGTCATCTAGCCCCAGTCTCTGTCTTAGATTAAATAATGCCTGTGACACAGCTTCAGAAGTTCTAGATGGCTATATGAACGGTGGTAGCCCCCCTAGAAGATATGATCTGGCTACTTTATAGGAATAACAATTGTTACCATTTTCAGAGCTACCTTTTATACACATTTGAGATGTATTAATTAACTTGCATTTATTTATTTATGTATGTATGTACTTATTTATTTAATTTTGACTGAGGTACTGGGAGTTAAGTCCCAGGCTTCATGGTTGCATGCTTGCTAAGTGATCTACTACACTCTCAGCCCTCTTTGCTTTTATTATTTATTATTCATTTACTTTATTTATTTTTTGAGACAAAGTCTTGCTTTGTAGCCCAGCCTAGCCTCAAACTCAGCCTCCTGAGAACTAGGGCTGCAGGCATACAATTTGCAGGCATACGCCACCACATTGCTCAGCATAGAGCCTCTTTAAAGGCTAGCCTGTAGCTAGCACTTTAAATACATTAGCATTTTGAGACCTGTGTGATAGACTTGCTATCCCCACTCTGCAGCTGAGGATCCGGAGGCCCGAGGGTTCAGGAAACTGGCTTCAGATTGCTGTTAGAAGCGGGCATCCAGGATTCCGAGCCCAGGCTGGGTGGCGTGTGTCCAGCGCAGAGGGGTGAAGGGACAGCAGCAAGGGGGGTTTGTTGTGGGCAACACCGTGGGTTTTTCTTTTCGAGATGAGGTTGGGGACATTGCAGGTGATGGCAGACTGGCTGCTGGCGGATCGCTCTAGCATGAGTGTTGATTATGAACTTTGACGCCCAGAGAGATGATATTATAAGGCCTTCACGGTAGCTCTGTGGGGAGCGCACGGCAGACTTTGCCTCTTTGAATATACAAACCAGAGAAGGTCAGTCACTTGCTGATGTGTGGCTCTGAAGGGGCTGGGGTGGGCAGGAGGCACTGAGGTAAGAGCTGCAGACAGGCTGAGGCAAGAGGAGGCCGGGGTTAGGAGTGGAGAGTCGGTGGAGGTTAGACGTGGGTCCACGTCCAAAGACGACGTGGGGCAGAATGGGGGCAGCGGTACGCGTGGAGGCTGGGTGGGGAGAGAGGGAGGCTGGCAATGGTCATGGGGAGGAGGGTTTCATGCTCTGTCCCTGGGCTGGGACAGTGAGCAGGGATGGCTCGGGTGCGGTGTCCTGTCACACTGGTACTGGCAGGTTCTGAAGCAACAGGTGAGTGCCCCCACATCCTGGCTCCCACCCAGGTTTACTGGCATGGCCAGAGCTGGGACAGGAGGCAGGGACTCCTCTGACCCACCCCTTGCCCAGTCTGGACTCTCACTCGGGAGCTGGTGACAGAGTATCAGCTATGAAGTGTGGTCCTCTTCTGTAAGCCGGCACCTGGGCACCAGCTTTCTCTTTTCCTTCCTGTCTCGGCATGCCCCTCCCCCTTTTTGGTGGTAATAGGTGATCAAGTCTACGGCCTTGTGTGTGCTAAGTCAATCCTCTGCCCCCAACCCCTGCTTTGCCTTTTACATTCTGTTTGGTTCTATGGTCTGACCTATGAGTGCCCTGCCCCAGAGCTCCAGCCTCCTCACGGTCTTGTTTCTGACCTATCTGTTCCCTTCTCCACTATCCGAAGGGGACTCCTTCAATGCCTACCACTTCAGAGTTTCAGCATGTTTTTCTTGAAGACATTTGACCTGCCCTCTCAACCCCCTCTGCTAGAACAATGAAACTGGCCTGATTCGGCCACCTTCATTTTCTCCACAGACAATATCCAGTTCTTCGTTTTTCTAACTCTGAACTTGCCTGGGTTCCTCTTGGGAAACACGGAGCAGACGACTGGGATGGGGTTAATGCAAGGGAGGGGGGAGCCCCTGTCCCAATCTAGTCCTTACAGACCACTACTCTCCTCCAGGAACCTTGGCTAAGAGCATTGGGACCCTCTCAGACCCCTGTAAGGACCCCACGAGGATCACCTCCCCCAACGACCCTTGTCTCCTTGGAAAGACTGGTTCCAAGAGCATCATCAGCGGCCAAGGTGGATCCAGCAGCTCCCAGGGAAGTTCTTTAGGATCTGTGATATTCAAACCAGGAACAGGGTCGTCCCAGATCAGCTATTCCTCTGGGTCTGGCTCCTCCCAGTCGGGAAGCAGTGGCTCTCAGTCAGGAAACAGCGGATCGCAGTCAGGAAGCAGCAACTCCCAGTCGGGAAGCAGCAGTTCTCAGACCGGAAGCAGCAGTTCCCGATGGGTAAGCAGCAGTTCCCACAGCAGCAGCTCTCAATCCGGAAGCTCAGGAAGCAGCCGGGAGGGACCAGGACATGGCTCTGCTCTACCGACCGATGACAAATCTTCCAGCCAGCCATCAGGCACCTTCCAGTCTGGAGGCTCTTACACTTCCCACAGCTCTGTGGTGTCTAGCAGCATCTCCAACCAGAGGCCCTGTAGCTCCAACGTGCCCGACTCTCCCTGCAGTGGGGGGCCTGTCATCACGCACTCCGGGCCCTACATCTCCAACTCCCACACCGTATCCGGCGGGCAGAGGCCTGTAGTGGTAGTGGTGGAGCAACACGGCTCGGGTGGCCCTGGAGGGTTCCAAGGCATGCCCTGCAGCAACGGTGGCCCCGCAGGCAAGCCCTGTCCTCCCATCACCTCTGTCCAGAAACCCTACGGCGGCTACGAGGTGGTGGGGGGCTCTGCCAACAGCTACCTGGCCCCAGGCATGACCTACAGTGGGGGTAAAATCTACCCCGTGGGCTACTTCACCAAGGACAACCCTGTCAGGGGCTCGCCAGGGGCCCCCTCCTTTGCAGCTGGGCCCCCAGTCTCTGAGGGGAAGTACTTCTCCAGCAACCCCATCATCCCCAGCTACAGCTCCTCCAGTTCCAACATCTACCCATCCTCGGGCGTCGTGTTCCAGCCCGTGGGCACCGGCGGGGTCCAGCCCTGTGGCATGGGTTCTAAGGGGCCTTGCTCTGGTACGAGAATCCAGATCACCTCCGGCAGCTCCAGCACCTCCTACCAACCCTGCGGCGGTGCTTCCCAGGGGCCCTGCTCCCCACCAGGCACCGGCTCCATCGGCGGGGGAAGCTCCTCCCTCTCCACCGGCAAAATCGTCCTCCAGCCCTGCGGCAGCAAGTCTAGCTCTCCCGGCTACCCCTGCCTTTCTGTTTCCTCCTCCACGCTGAATGGAGGTCTGAATGGCTCTCCTCAGCTGGTCCCCTCCGTGGTGGCCAAGCCCTGTGGCCTCAACAGCCCTGGAAGGGTGCCCTGCCGTTCCATCCGGGACATTCTGGCCCAAGTGAAGCCTCTGGGGCCCCAGTTAGCAGATCCTGAAGTTTTTCTGCCGCAGGGAGAACCGCTTGACAAGCCTTAAGTCACACACACGCCAGCCGCCGTCTCCCGGCTGGAAGATGCTCAGCGGCCCCAGTCACCTTTGTTCGGTGCCGGCAATGGTGAACTCCATCCCTTTCCTCCTCTCCTGTGGTGCCCTGTCTGCCTGATGGGAAGTCCTTGAAACACTCCTCAACCTCGGATTCCTGGACAAGTCAATCGTGCCTCTGCCCATCTTCCAAATAAGGCGAAATCCAATCCATCACCGCACACTTCTCACTGACCCATCCATCCATCCATCCATCATGACTCCCCACACCCTACCAGATCCATTCCCAACACACCCGTGCCTCCCCCGCTCTCCACGTCAGCCCTTGCCTGGTGACCACTTCACCCAAAGCACAGATGTTATGCTGTGTGTGTGGACGGACACAGGGCATCCGCAGAGTCTGGCACAGACTCCTGGCTCTCGGGATCCTGGACAGGGTTCAATAAACTTTGTGAACTTTGTGCAGACTTTTTGCCTTCTTGGAGTCCTGTGTCTCTTCTTTCGTACCTGGGTAGCACACCTCCTGACCTCTAGAAGGCCCATCTCCCCCCCCCCCCCCCCCCGTTTCTATTCGTAATTTGGCTCAGTGTTTTTTTGTCTTACGCCTCCTCCCACGGAGAAGGAAAACAATAAATATTGATTGAACTGACTGCATGCAGAGTTGCCCGGTGTCGGGATCCTTCCTCTGCACGTTTCACTTCTCAGCTCCAAGAAATCTGTTCCCTCTCTGCTTCCCACTCACAATGGAGTCCTCCCCTCCCCTTTCCCTCCAAAAGACCCTCATTATTTTCTTCTCTCCCACCTAGGCTTCTCCTGCATTAGTGTGCCTCACCTTCTAAACTCCATGCTCTCTGGCAGTCCCTAGAGTCGATCGATCTTGAGTTTCTGGGACGCTGGACCAGCCCAGGCAAGATTCCTGGAGACTGAGCAGGAGCATTCTGAGAACTGGGGGGGCGGGGAGAGTAAGACAACATCCCAGTGTGATGCAGTGCACCAAGGCTGGTGACTCACTGGCCTACTTAACAAGGCTCTGTGATAGACTGAGACAACAGTGTCCTCTGCACCTCCTCACTAGCCCAGTAAGGACAGAGGGCTGTGGGTGTCCCTGTAGGAAGGAGAGAGCGGGTGCTGAGGCCACAGTGACAGGCTTCAAGTCCGGAACCAGAGGCTTCCCACTGACCTGGCCACAGACGTCCTGGGGAGCCAAGCCGGCCTTCAGGGGCCACTAGGACAAAGCGGGCTCCCAGGCAGCCCTGTTTCTGTGATTACATAAGGGTCATTAGTCCAGGGGCTGGAGACATGGCTCAGTGATTAAGGGCACTCACTGGCTGCTGCTCTTCCAGAGGACCAGGGTTCAAATCTCAGCACCCACAGTACAGCTCATAGCTGTCTGTAACTCCAAGATCAGACACTCTCACACACAGACACATCTGCAGACAAAACACCACATAAAATAAAAGTGAAAAAAAAAAAAAAACAAAGAACTGAATTTAAAAAAAAAAAAAAGAGTTGTTGGTTCAGACAGTGGCAGGGATCAGTCAGAGCCCTCAGAGGGTCCTAGGATGGGAACTGCAGGAGAGGCTGACATTTAAATGGGACTCCTCTAGTCTCTGGTGTGATCCATGTTAAAAACAGGCATGGTGGCACACACCTTTAATCCCAGCACTTGGGAGGCAGAGGCAGGGGAATTTCTCTGAGTTAAGGCCAGCCTGGTCTACAGAGTGAGTTCCAGGACAGTCAGAGCTACAAAGTGAGACCCTGTCTCAAAATAACACACATACACACACACACAAAAAAAAAAACCCAAAGTCAACCCAAAGCAGGGGGCCAAACTCTAAGGTTCCCTACTGGCCAGTTCAGGGAAGAACTTGTTACTCTTCACGGCTGGTGGGGTGGGAAGGGTGGGGCTAGAGAGATCAGCCAACAGTCAGAGTGTCTCCTCAGGCAGACAGGGACATCTGCCTGAGTTTTCTAGGCTGAGAGAACAAAGGCAGTTAAGGGGGCAGGGTGGCTGGGTAGGTAAGGATGCTTTGCCCTGCGAGGCTGCTGACCTTGAGTCTGATGCCCGGAACCTATGTGAAAATAAGGAGAGAGGGTCTGGAGAGATGGCTCAGAGCTTAAGAGCACTGCTTGCTCTTCCAAAAGTCCTGAGTTCAATTCCCAGCAACCACATGGTGCCTCACAACCATCTGTAATGAGATCTGGTGCCCTCTTCTGGCCTGAAGGGATATGTGCAGACAGAACACTGTGTACATAATAAATAAATAAATCTTTAAAAAAAGTTCTTTAAAAATAGGGAGAGAACCAACTCCACAAATTGTCTTTGGACTTCCACATGTATGCTGTGGCCCGTGCACACAATAATAATAAATTCTAAAAATTAAAAAGGCGGCTGGGCGGTGGTGGCACACACCTTTAATCCCAGCACTTGGGAGAGAGAGCCAGGAGAATTTCTCTGAGTTCAAAGCCAGCCTGGTCTACAGAGCAAGTTCGAGGACAAGCCAAAGCTACACAGAGAAACCCTGTCTAGAAAAGCCAAAATAAGTAAGTAAGTAAATAAATAAATAAATAAGGCAATTAAATACTTTTTTTTATTTACTGTGTCTGGTGGTATAGCCTGTTATCCCAGCTATTTGGAAGCCTGAAGCAGGAAAAAGGCAAGTTTGAGGCCAGCCTAGGTTTAGTCAGACCTTATTTTCACAAAGTGAAAAGGGGGTTGGGGCACAGCTTAGTGGTAGAGTGCTCACTGGGCATATGGGTGGACCTGGGTTCAATTTCTAGTAGTAAAAACAATGAAACCCTTTTTAATTATAAAATTTTATAATACATGTCTATATTATTTTTATTTTTTGAGATAAGATTTGACGTAGGTCAGCCTGGCCTTGAACCCCTATGAAACCAAGTGTCCTGGTTAGTTTTATGTCAGTTTGACACAAGTTAGAGTCATCAGAGAGGAGGGAGCCTTAATTGGAAAAATGCCTTCATAAAACACAAAACTGGCCTGGGGGCAAGCCTGTAGGGAATTTTCTCAATTAGTGATCAATGGGGGAGGGTCCAGCCCATGGTGGGTGGGGCCATCCCTGGGCTGGTGGTCCTGGATTCTGTAAGAAAGTAGGCTGAACAAGCCATGAAGAGCAAGCCAGTAAGCAGCACCCCTCCACGGCCTCTGCCTCAGCTCCTGCCTCCAGGTTCCTGCCCTGTGAGAGTTCCTGTCCTGACTTCCTTCAATGATGAACAGTGAATTGGAAGTGTGAGCCAAATAAACCCTCTCCTCCCCAAATTGCTTTGGTCATTATGTTTCATCACAGCAATAGAAACCTGACTAGGACACCAAGGTTGACCTTGAACTCCTCCTCTCCTGCCTCTACCTCCTGAGTGTTGAGATTACAGGTGTGCACTACCATGTCCAGTTTTATGTGGTGCAGGAATGGGATGCAGGGCACCATGCATACCAGGCAGGCACTCCAGCAACAGAGCCATACCCCCGTCCCTCAAATGTATTTGTATTAGTTCACTTTCTGTTGCTGTAATAAAACACCCGAGACCTGGAAATGGGTAACAAGAGAGGTCAATTTAGCTCACAGGTCTCTGTTTCTTTTCTTTGTCTTCTTTTTTAGCTCAGTTTTCAAAGTTCAAGAACATGACTCCAGCACCTGCCCAGTTCTGAGCATGATGGGGAGATTGAATGAGAGGAAACGTCTCAAGGCAGGGTAGGAAGCCAGAGGGGTTGGGCTTACTGTTGGTTTATTATTATTATCATCATTGTCATTATTTTATGGGTTTTTTGTTTGTTTGTTGGACTGGTTGTTTTTGTTTTTGTTTGAGACAGGGTCTCTCTATGTAGCCCTGGCTGTCCTGAAACTTGCTATATAGACCAGGCTGGCCTCTAACTCACAGAGATCCACCTGCCTCTGTCTCAGGAGTGTTGGGATTAATGGTGTGAGCTACCATGCCTAGATGTTTTTAATTTTTTTGCAGTGCTGGGGACTGAATTCTTGTATGCCAGGGAAGGACTCTGCTGAACTATTTAAAAACAAAAACAAACAAACACAAACCCCAAACTCCCAAAACTTTAAAAAGTATTAGTATTAAGATTTATCTTTTTCGCTATAGGTACAGGTGTATGCCTGTGTGGGTGTGTGCATTATGAGTGCAGGTACCCGAGGAGACTGGAAGAGGGGATCAGATCCCCTGAGAGCTGGAGTTACAGGTGGGTGTGAGCCTCTCCATGTGGGTGCTGGGATCCAAACTCTTGTCTTCTGCAAGAGCGGTATGATCTCCTGAGCCATGGGCCATTGCTCCAGCCTTCTTTTCTCCCATTTTAACCATTTTCTTTTGAGACAGGGTGTCACTAAGCTGCCGGAGCTGCTCTTGACCTCACTCTATAGCCCAGGTCACGCTTGAATTTGTGACTCTCCTACTTCAGCCTCCAAGAAGTTAAGACTATAGGCCTCAGACAGCAAGGCTCCCTCTTTCAATAGCAACCCTTTCCCACAGATGCTAATTGACTCCAGCAAGTCCCGCTAATCTCCCCAGTGATTTACCTACCTCCCACTAGACCCGACTCTTTTTCTTTTCTTTTATTTTGCAATACCATTCAGTTCTAAATATCAGCCACGGATTCCCTTGTTCTCCCCCCTCCCGTCCCCCTCACCTTCCCCCCAGCCCCCCCCTCCATTCCCACCTCCTCCAGGGCAAAGCCTTCCCCACAGACTGAGGTCAACCTGGTAGACTCAGTCCAGGTAGGTCCAGTCCCCTTCTCCCAGGCCGAGCCAAGCGATCCTGCATAGGCCCCAGGTTTCAAACAGCCAACTCATGCAATGAGCACAGGACCCGGTCCCACTGCCTGGATGCCTCCCAAACAGATCAAGCCAATCAACTGTCTCACCCATTCGGAGGGCCTGATCCAGTGGGGACCCCTCAGCCATTGGTTCAGAGTTCATGTGTTTCCATTCATTTGGCTATTTGTCCCTGTGCTTTATCCAACCTTGGTCTCAACAATTCTCGTTCATATAAACCCTCCTCATTCTCGCTAATTGGACTCCCAGAGATCCACCCAGGGCCTAGTCATGGATCTCTGCATCCAGATCCCTCAGTAGTTGGATGAGGTTTACTCTTAAAGATCCCACATTTCTCAATATCCCCACACTGGAGACTGGTGAGGGACACTCTCAAAGCATATGCAAACCATAGCATCTCATCTACATTTAAAACCAGACAAATCACCATTGAGGTCCCATCACCCCAGTGCAAGGTTGAAGTCAGCATTTAGCTGTCCTTCTCTGTGAGTGCTTGGATACACCACTGACTCTGAGTGTTCTTATATCCCCTCCCCTCTCTTTTTAGATTTATAATTTATGTGTATGAGTGTTTTTCCTGTATGTATGCACACACAACATGTGCATGCCTGGTGTCCACAGACACCAGAAGAGGACATCGGATCTCATGGAACTGGAGTTAAGGGAGGTTGTTGGCTGCCATATGTGTGCTGGGAACAATTACCTTTAACCGCTGGGCCGTCTTCCCGCACGTTTCTTATATTCTTTGGTTTTGTCTGACCACCTGCATTAGGCAGAATGGTGTCTCCACCCCAACGCCACCAAAGATGTCACCATCATAATCCTTAGAATTTATAAATTTGTTAGGTTACTTGGAAAAGGGAAACAGGGTTTCTGATGCAGTTCAAGTCATTAGTCATCTGACCTTCCCATAAAGGGATTATCCAGGATTATCTGGGTGGGTCCAATATAAACATGGTGTTCAAAATGTGGGCTTGGGAGACAGAAGAGGAAGCCAGATGATACAGTGTGGGAAGAGAGTCAAGAGACCAGAAACACAGGTGGCCCTGGAAACTGGAAAAAGCCAGAAGTGGACCCTCTCTAGAACCTTCATAGCAGCAGTCAGTCCTTCAGATCCCTTTATAACTCAGAAAGACCCATTTTGGACTTTTGTTCTAAAAAATGATAACAGGGCTGGAGAGATGGTCCAGTGGTTAAGAGCATTGGTTGCTCTTGAGAGGAACAGACTTTGGTTCCCAGCACTGACATCAGCCTCCTCACTACTGAATGTAATTCCAGAGCTAGGAGCCTGACACCCTCTTCTGGCCTCTCTGGGCATTACACTCACATATACATCCCATACACAGGCACACACGCATATACATAATTAAGAATAAAATAAGGAGCTGGGCAGTGGTGGCACAGGCCTTTAATCCCAGCACTCGGGAGGCAGAGGCATGTGGATCTCTGTGAGTTCGAGGTTAGCCAAGTCTGCAAAGTGAGTTCCAGAACCACGTGGTGGTTCACAAATGTCTGTAACTTCAGTCCCAGGGATCCGAAGCCCCCTTCTGACCTGGGAGGACACCAGGCAGGTATGTGGTGAGTATACATGCAGGCAGGCAAAACACTCATACATATAAAATAACAAAATAAATAAAATAAAAATTTTTTAAATCTTTTACAGGCTTGATTACAGGAGAGCTTTGACAGCACATGCCTGTCATCCCATACTTGGGAGGCTGAGGCAGGAGGATTGTAAGTTTGAGGCCAGTCTCATAGTGAGACTCTTGTCTTAACCTGCCCCAACTCCACACCCCCCACACACAAAGAAAACCAGACAAAATAGAAAACAAACAAGCAAATGAAACAAAATAAGACAAAATGAAAACAAAATCCACAGTATTACATGTGTTGGGAATGGTTAACTTGTGTGGCTTTGTTACAGGAGCAATGGGAAATTAACACATCATGTTCTAAGGCTGGGAAATAAGCCCGTTTCTTCAGACTAAGGGCTTCACCTAGGAGCAGCACCTCTGATGGGAAACTTTTGCACCCCAGGATGTCCAGCTTGTCAGAATCCAGGGGGAGATGTGGGGATACATGCTGGAGTCAATGCTCTAGATCCCAAAGGAGTCAGACTGCTGAGTGTTGCTGATGCTGAGACACGGTGAAGGCACCAGCATCCCAAGGCAAGCCAGGGCAGGGCTGGCAACTAGGGGTGACCTGTGGACCAGGGCACCTGGGTGAGGAAGGGGCAGGGAGTATGTGGAAAGGAGCCAGGTGAGGGAACACCCAGTTCCTCTGGGACATTCAAGTGCCACCTGTTGCCACAGACCGAATCAAGAATGAGGGTGGAATGGGCAGATCTATTGTCTCCACAACCACTGGCCCAGCCTGTTTCTGTGTCCCCCACCCCACCAATGGGATAAAGCCTGCTGTCTTGGAGCCCAGGGAGTTGCTGGAGCTGAGCAAGATGCAAGGCCTCGCAGGTGGGAGCCGGGCTCCCCTGGGCCTGCTCCTGATCTGTCTGTATCTGCCAGGTATGGAGGGCACTGGGGTCCTTGGGTAAAGGCGGGAGTGTGTGCACTTGAGTCCCCAGGGAAGTGAGAAACCGTGAAGGGGGCCAGGGAGTCAAAGGAGTGGCTGTACCAACTGTGATTCACTGACTGCCTTATCTTCTTTTTTCCTTCAGGCCTCTTTGCACGTAGCATTGAGGCACCAGAGGAGAAAGTCTCCCTACATTCGGGAAAACCTTCCTTCACCAGCCTCTTCAGCTCCGGACAGCCTCAGCCCAAGCCAGACCTGGTGAATAATGAATTACCAAGGGTTCTTCCAAGGCTTCCTGAATCCTCAGAAGATGGCACTCTACCTGAGGAAGAATCTGAGATGCCCAGTCAGCCTCCCATCTGGGGGTGGTCCCCCATGGAGTACTGGCTCTCCGAGGACCCTCAGCAAGGGATGGAGGCTGCTGCCGAGGACCACCTGGAGCAAGTGCGGCCAGAAGCCCTGCCATACTTTTCCTCTGCATATGAGGCTTCCGGCCCCGAGGACTCAGAGCCTACACAGCTGCCTGGTTCCAGTCCACTGAGAACTGAGGCAGAAGCCTTTGCCCAGCACCCATTCTGGTTTTTCATCCACAGGTTATTGCCTGGTTTACCCTTGGGGATCCTAAGTCCCATTGGATCTTGGGGAGGCGGAGGCGCAGGAACTGGGTGGGGGAGAAGGCCCATGCCTTACCCTTCTGGAATATGGGGTAGCAATAGTCAATTATCAGGTACCAGTTTGGGAGTTAATGGTCGGCACCCAGTAGTCAGTTGGGGGACCAATAGTCCGTATCCTGCAGGAAGCTGGGGGGGTAATGGTCCCTATCCTGCAGGGAGCTGGGGGGGTAATGGTCCCTATCCTGCAGGGAGCTGGGGGGGTAATCGTCCGTATCCTGCAGGCAGCTGGGGGGGTAATCGTCCGTATCCTGCAGGCAGCTGGGGGGGTAATCGTCCGTATCCTGCAGGCAGCTGGGGGGGTAATCGTCCGTATCCTGCAGGAAGCTGGGGGGGTAATCGTCCGTATCCTGCAGGAAGCTGGGGGGGTAATCGTCCGTATCCTGCAGGAAGCTGGAGGCCCAATGGTCGGAATCCGCTTCCTCCAGGAGTCCGCCCTCCTGGTCGGAATCCGCTTCCTCCGGGAGTCCGACCTCCTCCTGGTCGGAATCCACTTCCACCCCGAGTCCGCCCTCCTGGTCGGAATCCACTTCCTCCCGGGGCCCGACCTCCTGGCTCTTCTGGGAGCCTCCCAAACCTCAGTTTGCAGTGAGGATATAAAGGTCAGCAGAAGCTCAGTCAGGCTCGGTCACATGGTTTACCCATTTTTAATGCTTCCTCTGTTGACCTAAGCTGGTCGCCAATAAACACAAGCAGTTCTTGAATTGGATGTGTCTCCGTGTCTTTGTTTCTGGGAGTCATGGCCGTGCACCTGGGTCTTCCTCATTTCTAGCCACCCTATGTCTCTCTGGGGTCCCCTGTAGAGCTAGAGCCCATCTTGTTGTCCCCATCTTTGGGGGAGAAAGGTCACAGCCCAGGTACTTGAGGACGGGCCCACTCCATGCTTTCACCCCTGTCCAGGAGGGAGAGCTGGTTCCAGAATGGTCCTGGAGAGGAAGGATGGTAGAAGAGTTGAGAATTCACCCGAGGCGGGAGGGAGGGAGGAGGGAGGGAAGGAGGAGGTCCACCAAACTGGCACCAGACCAGGAGGGACAAAAAAACCTTTCCATTCACAGAACACAGGGCCAGGGAAGGTCCTATGGCCTATGCTTATCTTTTATTGCTCAGACAGTCAAGCTTCTTGGAAATGAAGGGTGCATGGGTCCCCTCCCTCACACGCATCACTTAGCGCTTTATGTGCAGAGAGCCGCAGACTTTGAACATCTGCCAAATAAACAGCAGCCCTGGTAGAGGAAGAGAGAAAAGAGAAGCCAAGCCTCTGAGCCAACAACCACTGTGACGGATCCGTTGCTTTGTTCTCCTGAGCTCACACAGCCCCTTCCTTTGGTTGAGCTGTGGTCTCCCCCTCCAGCCTTCTGTTTGCCCGGGAACTCAGCATCCCTGCAGGACAGTAGGGAGGGCAGGGGTGGGGTGGGGTGGGGTGGGGGTGGGGGGTGTATCTATCTACAAAAGCGAAGTCAGCGGGGACAGACAGGACTGCCTTTTCTCCACTGTGTACTTTGCCCTCCCAGGACCAGGTGTGTGTACCCTTAGGCAGCCTGGCATCACCCCAGTTCCAGGAGGCTAGACAACTTGTAGGAGAGAGGCAGGTAGCGCCTGAGGAATGGGAGTCACCTGCCTGAGTGGGACATGCTGTCCTGGTGTCTGTGATGAGAATTCCTAGTTGGAATACTTCCTCATAAATCCATCTTTCCCCTCACCAACCACACCTCTTCCCCATTGCCTCAACCCAATTCCCTTCCCTCCTTGGACTCTTGATTTTTCTTAGTCCTAGGGTAAGACTAGGGGACTGTTTTTAGCTTTTCTTCTAGACAGGTCCAAGGTCATTTCAGGCTTCCAAGCTACATTTCTTGTTCTAGTTGTCCACCTTGCTACAGTCACTCCTAAACGCATTTTTGAGTTATGTGTCTATCTCACAGACCTGTTTTAACTGTACCAGTGAGACACGGACCTCATATGTTCGCTGTTGCACCTCTCAGTGTCTGGGCCAGGGTAAGCACTCAACAAACACTGAATGAGTGGGCAAGTCCTCTGTCTATTCATCAGTTCATCCATCCATCCATCTATCCATCCATCCATCCATCCATCCATCCATCTATCCATCCACCCATCTATCCATCCATCTATCCATCCATTCATCTATCCATCCATCCATCCATCCATCCATCCATCCATCCATCCATCCATCCGTCTATCCATGCATGCGCCTACCCATTCTCACCCACCCACAGGCAACACTGAACTAGTGTGATCTCCAAAGGCCCATGTATTACATACAGGCTTGGTCTCCAGCCTGGCACCCTTAGGAGGTAGTGGAAGTTTTAAGAGATAAGGCTTAGCAGGGAGGACCTCAGGTCATTGCGGAGGGGTCCTGTTAAATAAGATTGTAGGACTCTGCTGTCCTCTTTCTCTCTTTGCTCCTTGGTTTTCCGTGAGGTGAATGGTTTGGTTCAGTAGCATGCTCCTGCCTAATGGACTGCCTTACCACAGGCCCCAAAACAACAGGGGGCAATCTTCAAAACTGTGAGTTCAAATAAAGCTGTTCTCTGTAAGCTGGTTATCTCAGATGTGTTATGGTAGCTGTCGACTAACACCAAGTCTCCACGGAGAACTGCTGCTGTGTCCTTCCCTGAGCCTCATGAAGCTGGTCTTGGCTCACGCAACATTTATCACTTCACCCTCGATATTACCTATGACAAAAGTATTTTACGATTCTTTTTTACCAATAGGGAAAGAGTCAGAGACATGAAGCAACTCACGCAGGCCATGAATGACAGAGGCGGTGACTTCAGCCTCATTTTCTCATCCATCCAGGGAGTGTTCAGATACAAGTGCAATTAGCAGAAATACCAACTAACTTTTATTATGTGTGCCAGATCATGGACTAGGTGTTTGTATACACATCCTTCCAACTAATCTTCCCAAAAATCCCCTCAGGAAGGCGCTGAAGTGCCCCTTGTACAGGGGAGATACTGAGGCACAGACAGGGTGGGCCGAGGGCTTACACACAGGACAGGCAACAGTGAGAGAAGCGGGTGAGCTCGCCTTGGCAAGAGTTGCTGATGACTCCTAAAATCTGGAAATGCAATGGTAGAGGGCTCTGAGTAGCTGTGGTCAGTCATGTCAGAGAGGTCTTAAATTTTTTTTAATTTTTATGTGTATGAGTGTTTTACCTTCATGTATGTATGTGCTCCACAAGTATGAGGTACCCAGTGAAGCCGGAAGAGGGCGTCAGATCCCCTGGAGGTGGAGTTATAGGCAGTTTATTTGGCTTATATTTCTACATCACAATTCATCACTGTAGTGGCTGGTTTTGTGTGTCAACTCGACACAAGCTAGAGTCATCAGTGAGGAAGGAGCCTCAGTTGAGGAAATGCCTCCGTGAGATCCAGCTGTAATGCATTTTCTCAATTAGTGATCAATGAGGAAGGGCCCAGCCCATGGTGGGTGGTGCCATCCCTGTGGGCAAGCCAGGGAAGCAAGCTAATGAACAGCACCCTCCATGGCCTCTGCATCAGCTCCCGCCTCCGGGTTCCAGCCCAGCTTGAGTTCCTGTCCTGACTTTCTTCAGTGATGAACAGCAATGCTGAAGTGTAAGCCAAATAAACCCTTTCCTCCCCAATTTGCTTTTGGTCATATGTTTCTCCACAGCAATAGAAACCCAAACTAAGATGATCACTGAAAGTCAAGGCAGGAATTGAAGCAGAAACCATGGAGGAGTGCTGCCCACTAGCTTGCTCTCCCTGGCTTACTCAGTTTGATTTTTTTTTTCTTTTTTCTCAAGACAGTGTTTCTCTATGTAGTTTTGGAGCCTGTCCTGGAACTCACTCTGTAGCTCAGTCTGGCCTCGAACTCACAGAGATCCACCTGCCTCTGCCTCTTGAATGCTGGAATTAAAGGCATGTGCCACCACCACCCAGCAAGTTTGATTTCTTATACAACCCAGGACCACCTACCTGGGCAGGGCTGGCACCACCCACAATGGGCTGGTCCTTCCCACATCAATCATTAATCATTAAAATGTCCCATAGACTTGCCTACTGGCCAGTCTGTGAATACACCTAAACTCCCTGAGCTGTATGCTTTAAACGGGACCCGAAGCTCCTGTTATCCACCTACCACCCTCAATCCTGATCCAAACAGGCCCTCACGACCAAGACAATACCCTGCACCTGACAAACATTTCTGTGAGAAAGCGTGTAGCCACACATTCCAGGTGTTTTCACAAGTCTCTTGAGAGAAAAAGGAGAAGGCCGACCAGCGGACGGAAGCAGACAGAGGGTACCCACCCTCCCAGCTGAGGAAAAGGAACAGACATAGGTGCTGGTCTACAGACAGGCAATACCAAAGCCAGACTGCTGGCCTTCCGCTGACATGAGCTATGGGTGAAAATGGCCTGGCTGGAGGAAGGAGTACTGTCTGGGCCAGTGAGTCTCCGCACCTCTGTGCCAGTTGCCTTCCTGGGTTTCAGCGTTGAAAGTGTCTGGTGGCTTTGCGACCTGGGACTGGCTATCTGTAAGAGGGAAATCACTGGACAATCCTCATGCTGCCAGAGAACTGAGGTAGCCTTGTAACATATTCAGCTCATGGTATACCGAGGATGGAGGGAGCTATTATCACCGCGTAAGTGAAAACGTCTGACACTGAAGTTGGCCCCGCACTGGAGAGTGCTGAGGAAGGGTTCCTGGAGAGGAAACCAATGTGCAGACCAAGGGAGCACAAGACAGATTTGGGACCCTGTGGGGTCTTTAACTCACTGTTATCTGGCCAGGCCCTCTGAGGGCAGCCCTTGCCCAGCTCTAGGCTGCTTTCTGTTCCTGTGAATTGGTCTATCTGAAGCATTTCATGTAAGTAAAATCACACAAGACTTTATCGACTGTTAGCACAGTGTCTTCCGTGTGTCAGTACTTCATTCTTTTCTTGTCAGATTATTATTATTATTGAGTCAGGGTCTTGCTATGTAGACCAACCAGGCTGACCTTGAACACGTGATGATCCACCAGCCTCTGTCTTCCCTGTGCTAGGGTTACAGGCTAGTATTAAAGACCTGTAATGACAGGCTATCATAGAATTCTTTTTAGATACACAGCTTTCACATAGATTTTTAAAAGCTTGCAGTCTACTCTCTCCTGCTAAAATGAAATATTTTAGAGTCTCCCTTGGGCTGTTAAGATGATTTGTTGGGTAAGGGCTCTTGCAGTGGAACCTGATGACCTGAGTTCAATCCCATGGTGGAGGGAGGGAACTGACTCTGAAAGCACCGCCCTCCACACATGTGATGTAGTGCATGAATGCACACACACACACACACACACACACACACACACACACACACACACACACAATCACATTATTACTAAATGTGAGAAAAAAATTTTTTTTTTTGAGACAGGATTTCTTTGGTAGCTTTTGCTATCCTGGATCTCGCTCTGTAGACCAGGCTGGCCTCAAACTCACAGAGATCCACCTGCCTTTGTCTCCTGTGTGCTGGGATCAAAGGTGTGCACCACCACCACCCAGCTTGTGAAAGATATTTTTAATTTAAGTCTCCATTGGCTATCATTCTATAGTCCATTTCCTCTTTGAAATGTT